CCCGGAGGAGCTGGCCCAAGTGGCTGGGGAGAGGGAAGTCTGGGCCTCTGGCCTTAGGCTACTGCCCCTGCGACCCGACTCCGGATAAGCGGATGAAAATGGATGGACGGATGGAGGAATCAAAATGTTTGTTATGATGTAAAGGATGTTTAAAAATGAGTTTTTTTTTAATTATTTGATACAATAATAAACTAAAAACATACGAAAGATCAGACCATACCTAATACCACATGCCGCCCAGCTCCTGGTGCAATCTACTGTCATCTCCCGCCTCGATTACTGCAATTTCCCTTCTAACTGGTCTTCCAGCCTGTACTGTGAGACCTCTTCAAATGGTCCGGAACGCTGCGGCGTGTCTGATCTTCATTCAGCCAAAAAGACCACATGCCACCCTTCTGTTCATTGAGCTCCACTGGCTACCGCTAGCTGCACATATCAAATTCAAATTGCTAACACTAGCATACAAAGTCCGAGATGGTATGGCTCCCATCTACCTGAATCCTCTTGCAAAGGCTTACGTCTCGGCCCGGCCGCTCCGGTCATCACAGGATCGTTGGCTAGCAGTGCCTACACCACGCTCAGGACAATCCAGACTCTTCTCATGCATCGTTACGCAAATATGGAATGACCTTCCAAGCACTACAAGAACAGGGGCTTCCATTTCGACTTTCAAGAAACTCCTGAAGACCCTGCTCTTCAGAGAGAATCTTCTAAACTAGCACCCTCCCTGCACCCGTCCCCCCTCTTTACTGTCCACTCCTTGTTCCCTCCTCTCCATGATTCATCATGCTGCCTCACTGCCACCTACAACTGACTGGAAATTGGTTGTTGTTGTTGTTGTTATTGTTGTTGTTAGCCTCAAGGGCAACATGCCGATCATCACTTGTAAGTCGCTTTGGACAAAAGCATCTGCTAAATTTGAAAAGAGAGTAAGATGGCGCTCGCGCGGGTGCACGCTGCGAGCTGCTTGTCCTCTTTATGCACTGGTACCTTGCTTTTTACTGGTTTTTATTGGCGTTTTATTGGCTTTTATGCATTTTTGTTGTCCCTGATGCTTTTTTTTTTAATGGTGTGGATCCTCTGCTGACATACGATCGAGCTGCGCTGCTGAGACTTTGTTCTTCCGTTGATGTAGCGGGCTGCGCGCGCTGGGAACTGGGCTGCGCGAGCAGGGAACCTCACGGATGGTGCTGCTGGTTGGAATGCCCGTTTGCTCTCTCCCCCCCAAGCCGTGATGTGACGGCCCTCTGTCCGCCCCAGCTCGAGAAGGAAGCATCGGAGAAGACGGGGAAAGAGAGGTAGCCGGCGCGTGAGACGTCGGCCTGGATCCCTGAAGAAGCGGCTGGCCTGATTCGGCCCAGCTTCTGACCCGGTGGTTCCGAGATGTCTCCTGGATTACTCTGCGCCCTGCCCAGGGAACGTGGCTGGCTCTGAGGGTGAACTGGCACCGCGCCACGGCCAATCGGCTCGAAGACCTCGCCAGACTGGGGTTTGCTGGGAGAATCTGCGCTCGGTTACGGGCACAGAGTTAAAGGAGACTGGGCCCGTGTGCGATCTTGGTGCTGCAGCCCCGCCGCAGACCCGGTTTGGTCTGGTCAATGCCAGGTCTGTGCTGAACAAAACTTTTATACTTCATGACTTCTTTATTCAGCAAGACTTGGGTTTGCTCTGCATCTGTGAGTCATGGATCCCGTTTGGTGACTCAAGCGCCCTGCTGGAGCTGGTACCACCTGGCTGCTCCTGTTTTAATATCCCCAGATCACAGGGCAGAGATGGAGGGCTGGTTGTTGTTTTTAAATACAGCTTTCCTTGTAAACAGCTTACACCCACCATGTCATTTTCTTCCTTTGAACTATGCTTATTTGAATTGTGTATCTCCCCCGCCTGCTCGTTGTGCTGATTTATCGCCCTCCAAAGACTGACTCTAACTTCCTTAATGATTTCTGTGATCTTGTGGCAGACTGCATCCTAAAATATGACTATGTCCTATTTTTTGGTGATTTTAACATCCATATCTGCTGTCCTGACAATGTGCTTGCTAAAGTTTTATTTTTTTTTTATTTGCTAGATTCATTCAATCTAACTCAATGGGTATCATCCCCAACTCATGCCAGGGGTCACACCCTGGACCTGGTTCTCTCTTTTGGTCATACCCTTGTGACTTTGCCTCCTGTGTTCTCTGACCACTCTCCTATACTCTGTGATGTTACGTTGCCATGTCCTGTCCCTGTGTGTGAAGCTCCAGCTACTAGGTTCAGAGCCCTGGATGCAGAAACTATTTCAAAGTTTGTGGACTGTATGTCTGTAAGGTTAGAGACCTTTAACCCAGATCCATCTAACACTGAACACTGTTCACAACACTTTGATTTACTTTGTAATCAGGTCCTGGACGTGGTTGCCCCTCTCAAACGTTGCAAGTCTCGGCCTAGGAAGGAGCCTTGGCTCTCTGATGTCACACGGGCTTGTAGGCGGGCATGTAGATCCTCTGAGAGAAAGTGGAAAAAGGATGGCCTGCAGGTCTCGCGTGAGTTGTTCAGAGCATCTCTGGTTGCTTATCAGGATGCTGTGAGGGCTGCCAGAACGGCCTATTTTGCAGAAATTATCAAAACAAACTCCAAGAATCCCAGGATTCTCTACAAAACACTAAACTATGTTCTGGTGTATCAGGAGCCTAGCTTCAAGTCTCCTACAGCTGCTGGAAACTCTGAAGCTTTTCACAGATTCTTTGTTGAGAAAGTATCAGGCATTAGAGCAGCTATTTCTGGTAACTCTGTTCACCCTGTTCCAGTTCCTCCATCACCACCCACCCTGAGCTCCCTCAATACTGTTTCATACTCTGAGCTGAGTAAGCTTGTTGCGAGGCAGAAGCCATCTGGCTCTCCACTTGACATTTTGCCGCCTCGTCTCTGGAAGGCTGCCTTTCCGTGTCTTGGCCCATCACTTGGTCGGATTATCAATGGGAGCCTCAGCACAGGTGTGGTCCCAGCTGCTTTGACAGCAGCAGTTATTCGGCCGACCCTGAAGAAACCTGGTGCAGATGTCTCTGTGATCGCAAATTACAGGCCTATATCTACCCTGCCTTTTACATCAAAACTGCTTGAGAAAGTCATTTATCAGCAGCTGGTCTCACATTTAGCTGACTCTGATCTGTTTGAGGTTTTTCAATCAGGGCTCAGGTCTGGCCATAGCACAGAGTCAGCTCTACTGAGGGTCTAAAAATGATATCTATCTATCACTAGATCAGGGTACATCTGTGGCGCTTCTGTTGTTAGATCTGACGGCAGCCTTTGACACAGTTGACCACGCGATTCTACTCAATCGCTTGGAACGATGGGTTGGGATCAAATGGTCTGCTCTGGATTGGTTTAGATCATATCTCTACAACAGGACATTCTGCATTAAACTGGGTGATGTTTTTTCTTCTTGGGAGGGGTTCCGCTGGGGGGTCCCGCAGGGGTCGATCCTTGGTCCTCTTTTGTTTGCCATTTATCTGCTACCTCTGGGGTCAATCTTTCGTAAACATGGCCTATCATTCCATCTCTATGCTGACGATTGCCAAATTTACTCTCCATTGTGTCAGGAGAAAGGTCACTCTATTCAGTCCTTTGTCTCCTGTGTTAATGAGGTGAAGTCTTGGCTAATGGCCAACTATCTGCATCTGAATGAGGGAAAGACAGAGCTCATTGTTTTTCACCCCAACAGCAGGAATGTGGGTCGTTATGTTGATCTTGGCCCTCTTTCTCCCTACTCAAAACCAGTTATTACCAATTTGGGGGTGAAAATTGATGCTGGACTTAAATTTGAGGCTCACATTAACTCAGTGATCCGGTCCAGTTTCTTTCACCTGAGACGCCTTGCAAATATCAAGCCTATGCTGTTGAGAGCCCACCTGGAGCGGGTACTGCATGCATTTGTTATTTCTAGGCTTGATTACTGCAACTATCTTTATTCAGGGTTGTGTCAGTCATCAATGCGTCGCCTACAGGTTGTGCAGAACAGCGCAGCAAGGTTCCTGACTGGGACCAGGAAACGGGACCACATCAGTCCAGTTCTGACCTCCCTGCACTGGCTTCTGGTTTGCTATTGTGCACAATTCAAAATCCTCGTCTTTGTTTACAATTTCTTCCAGGGTGGTGCTCCCCCCTATCTGGCCACTCTCCTGAACAAACATTCCCCATCACGCGCTCTGTTCTCCTCTGACCAAGGCCTGCTCGCTGGCCCTCATTCTAGGTGTCGTACTCGCGGGGACCGGGCTTTCTCAGTCCTAGCACCGTCACTCTGGAACCATTTGCCACCCTCAGTTAGGCTGTCCCCATCTCTGCCAGCCTTTAAGAGTTGCCTAAAAACACACCTTCTCCGCTTGGCGTTTCCTGAACATGTTTGATTCGGCCCTCTTTTACGTTGAATTTTTTTCACAGTTTTCATTGGTTCACTCTATCCCTTGTTTTACCCATCTGTCCTGTACTAGAATGTTTCACCATTTTTGGTAATTTGTATTTAGTAATTTAATTTGCTTATATTTTTGAATTGCTTTTATTTTTGATTTATTCACTATATTTGTACTTCTACTGTACCATGTTCAGCGCCTTGGGCTTCCTGACAGGGTTGCGGAAGGCGCTTTATAAATAACGCTTTGATTGATTGATTGATTGATTGATTGATTGATTGATTGATTGAAATACATAAACATATTCAAACGAGACTCACGCATAGAAATTCTGCCCTGTGCTTTCAGCTGGGATGTTTCCGATGACAGTGACGGCCTAAATTTCCAAAGGACTGGGACAAATCTGTCCAGGGTATGCCATCCTAAGGGCCCTCAGATCCTCCCAGTCACCTGTTCCACCTGGATTGTCATGATCATAATAACGGGTCCAGCACAGTCTCTCAATGATGGGATCCGCTGACGGTGCACCTTCAGGAGAAAAAGATATTTATTATAAAAACATGCCTAACTATTGCGACAAAAATTTATTTGCATGTTAAAGTTAAATTGTCTTACTTCTGATACTCGGTTTCATACAGGCTAGAAAAAAACAAACAATAATACCAGTTAGTGGTTTTATTTGTTTGTGAACGATTGTAATATTTAGAAAACTGTCTGAACTCACCAAGCAGCAAAACTGCAAGAACAGTGAGACTCATCTGTAACAAAAATACATAGTTGTTTAAAAAGTGACATTTTTGAAGTGAAGTTGTGCAATGTCCAAAGTTCTCTTGACTGTCTTTTCCTTTGATCTAAAACACAACAAATAACATCTTACCAGCTTGGTCATGATTGCAGAACTCAGATGTCTGTTTTCACAGCTGCAAAACAAAATAAAGACATTTAAATGTTTTGTTTTCAAGCTTAATATTTATTTGAATGTGAATTTTGCAAACAATGAATTAAAAATGTATTTTTTTTAGAAGTTTAAAGAATGTTTTGTTTTCTTACTGGTAAAAACCAGGAGGAACTTAGCAAGAGAACCTCTCTGTTCCACAGGATGGTTGTGTGTACCTCAGCCTTTTTATAGTAACATCCCTGCCTGTGGCACCAAATCTTTAACACAAACATGTGGCTCCTGATTGAATATTTTCCATGAAGTTTGCTGCATTTTTACACATAAAGGGAGAGAGACCAGTTCTGCAGGACAGACTTCCAAAAGGTCAGGTTTTAAACTCACATAAACAAGCTGGCTAGGTTACTCTTTCTTTGTGTTTTGACTCAAGCACATGATGCTAAGCATGCTCCAACATGACAAAAATTACTTCTGTCAAAGAAGATAGATGAAGACAAAAAGACAAATGCACTTTAAACTTTTGTGTGTATTAGTTTACGCTAGGGGTTGTATGAACTAGTCGACTATTCGACGAGTCGACTTCACGGCTCTGTAGTGACTTTTTATGCCTGTCATCGACTAGTCGCTGTCACGTGATAATGACTGACAAGATGCAGTCCTCGGAAAAGACAGCAGGTGATGAGCCCCTGCGTCAGGAGGCAGAGGCAACGCGCTGTGCCAGAGTGTCGACACCGGCGGTAAAACGGACATTTAACGAAATTGTGACCTTTTCCCTCTTGCAATTTTACCTTCCCCTCACCCCCCATCCTAATCTTAACCAGTTTACGCATGCAAAGCTCTGATCGTTGACGCACTCCAGACGTCCTGAGCACCGCCAAATCAGGTGTCACCAGCTCAAAAGCAAATTAAACACGCAAACGTTCATGACGGCTCATTTCCTTTAATGTTTTCTGTCTGTTATTTGTGCCTGATGCGTTTCGCTACTGCGGAGCGAAGCAAATCACCTGTTTTGTTCTCCGGTGACGCACCCCCAAAATTCCCCTATCTCCGCTCCGCTCTGGCATGAACTCCGCAGCAAAAACGGTCCCGTTGTAGTCGGCCGGCGAGCAGCGGCACTCCGCTGTTTTCTGGTCGGTAGATCTTAGAACTGCAGTTCAAAGGTAACTCATAAGGTGAATACAAATGAACCCAGTGCTCGGCAGCCTCGCCTCTGTCAGTGCGCCCCAGGGCAGCTGTGGCTACATTGTGGCTCATCACCACCAGTGTGTGAATGTGTGAATGGGTGAATGACTGATTGTGTTGTAAAGCGCCTTGGGGGGTTTCAAGAACTCTAGAAGGCGCTATATCAAATACAGGCCATTTACCATTTAGGAGATGCAGGAAGATAATAAACAGACAGGACAGAAAAATAGTCAAATAAAAACAAGTTAGTTTTTGTACCTGCTGGTTGCAACAAACAAACACCATTGAATGTAATCAGAAGGCAGGAACAGAAAATGAAATAATTATTTTAATGTTTAGAGCAGCAGGAACTCCGAGAGGCTGCAGGCGCATCAGTTTGCTGCTGCTGCGCAGGGGGAGGTAGCAGAGGGCTGAAGTAGGATGCAGAAACTACCGTTGTTAAAAGAGATGTATTAACTTAGAAAATGTGGGCTCAATTTTAATTGTCAAAAACTCAAGCGAACCACCCCCCCCCCCCCCACCCCCCCACCCCCGGCCGCTTCAGGTGTATGACGTCATCAACGACTAGTCAAATTCGACTCGATTTTCATTACTTGACTGTCGCCTTTAAAAAAAATTAAGTCATGCAACCCCTAGTTTGCGCTGGTGCATAAATGCATAAATAGTAGCTTCCATGCATGGATATGCACATAGTTATGGCATCCACTTATTCTTCTTCTATAATTATTTAGCTTTTTATTGTTTTGTAGGTTAAAGACTCAGCAGATGACCTATAATGGCAGTACATTGTTTATCTGTATCTATAGCTTTTTATAGTAACAACCTGAAGCACACACTAGATTTTTCCATGATAAAACTTGTTTTGTTGCATTTTCACAGATAACATCCAAAATGACCAGAAACACATTGTGGACCTCAAAGACTTTGCCAACACAAAATTCCTGTCCCACCTTTGTTTTGGTTTATTATCTGCATGCGTGCAACATATTGTTGAAAATGCAAAGTGAAATGCTGTAAAGTCCTGAGTTTATTCTTTAGCTAAAATTCAAATAAATTATTTTTCCCTCATTAATGTACACATGGCACTCCACGTTGCCAGAAAAACTGAATTTTAGAAATTTCTGCAGAGTTATTAAAAGAGAAAAACTGAAATATCTCATGGTCCTAAGTATCCAGACCCTTAGCTCAGTATTAAGTAGAAGCACACTTTGAGCTAATACAGCCATGAGTCTCCTTCGTAGTTTCTTACACCTGGGTTTGGGGATCCTCTGCCATTCCTCCTCTCAGATGCTCTCCAGTTATGCCATGATAGATGGTGAACTTTGGTGGACAGCCATTATTAGTTCTCCCCAGAGACGTCAGTAAGTCTCAGTAAGATAAAAATGATTATGGTTTGTCACACCTCTGTGAGGCTTATTACTAACAAGCATTGACCCTTTATTGTGAATTGTATGCCGAAGTAGAATGTTCTCCTTTGTCCACCAGAGGTGTGGGACATTGGTACATTTATATATATATATATATATATGTATATATATATATATATATATATATATATATATATATATATATATATATATATATATATATTAGGTCATGCTTAGACAACTGCCCACTTACATCTGTACTTTTGTCTCACAGAGAAGTGTTTGTCTTCCAGTTAGCCTACGAATGATCAGTGGTTATGTTAAGCTCCATTTGCCCACACAGAACTGGGGAAAAGGCTTTTGTTTCCTCTGCTCTTTCTTTGTGGAACAGATTGCAAGAAGACTAAAATAAAGTTAAATAAGGATGTAGAGCATTTGAGACAGACTACTTGTGTTGTACCTGCTTTTCATAATTTTGTAATAGTTAAAATTTTGAAAAAGAGTTTTTTTTTTATCTTAATGGGATTTTCTTGGTTAAATAAAGATGAAAAATTGGGAAATTCCCCAAGATAAAAGAAAATTATAATTTACATCACGTTTTAACCATTGCTTCTCCAAATCAGTACTAAATTCATAAATAAATAAATAATTATTTTTATTTTAAACATTGAAATAATAATGTGAAATAACATTCCTTATTTAATCAGCTGCTGCATTTATTTCATTAAATGATGCATTTATTGATGCATCATATGACTATGTTACACAGGAGAAAAGACCAAAACTTTTTTGCTTTTGTTGAACATTTTTATTGCTGTTGATTTATTTCTTCAAAGTTGGACAAAATCAGCCAGAGTCCCCGCAGCATAGTTAGTATAATAGCCCCAGAAACAAGTGACAAAACCTGTTTCAGTTTGCAGAAAAGAGAATTAATTTTTAAAAATCAGCAAGATTAACATTAACTGTTTCCTCTCAGAGTATTAGCACCCATTGATGCAATCAGGCTCAGGAATACATGGACATCTGAAGCGAACCTTGTAGTCCAAGCATTGTTGACCAGATGGTTGATCTGCGTTGCGACAAAAGAAGCCCAGTTGGGTATTGTAGCTGAAAGATAATAAAGGACACTAAGTTAAGGTGAGCAATTGGAAGCAAGTTTTATTATGATTTTCTGAATGTTTAAAACAATTCGTGTTCATAATCAAAACACGCTTTAACGATTCAAAGAGAGTTAAAACTGAAGAACATTCAACATTCATGTAGAGTCAATCTGTAAACTAATGAGCTGAATTGTCAAACGTGACTCACGCATAGAAGTGCTGCCCTGTGCTCTCAGCTGGGACATTTCCATCAACAGTGACGGCCTGAATTCTCCGGGGTGTGTCACAAATCTCTCCTGGGTATTCCATCCGCAGGCCCTTCAGGTCTTCCCAGTCACCTGTTCCACTTGGATCATCCCGATCGTACCAACTGGTCCAGCACAGTCTAGGCGAAATGGCCACTAGAAATAAAGACATTAGCATAAAGACAGCACTTGGATAAACATCTTCACAAAATGTATTTAAATGTGCAACAAAGAAGATGATCTTACGTCTACTTGGTTTTACATTAGCTGAAAATTAAAAGCAGATTAATACAAGTCAGTGGTTTTATGTGGTGGGAAACGACTAAACTGGTCAAACTGTCTGAAAATGAACTCACCAAGCAGCAGAACTGCAACAACAGTGAGAGCTGTCTATAAACGAAAATTATATGACTAAGATATTTATAATTAAAAAATCTCGTGATTTTTTGCACCGAAACAAAAAAGATAAATATCTTACCAGCTTGATCATGATTGCAGAAATCAGAAATTTGTTTTCACCGCTGCAAAACAAAACCATACAGTTTAAAGAAACTTTTTCTCCACAATTACTTTATCTTTTAATGTGAGTTATATTTATAACTGATGAAATTCTCTTTTCTTCTAGAAGTTTAAAGAATGTTTTATTTTCTTACCTGTAAAAACCAGGAGGAAGTCAGCAAGAGGACCTCTCTGCTCCACATGATGGTTGTGTGTACCTCAGCCTTTTTATACTAACACATCCCTCCCTGTGGCACAAATTC